TTGGCGTCTTCTGGGTTTTGAAGTTTAATTATTTAATTTATTTATTTTTATTATGTCTCTAAATATTATTGAATTATTTTTAATAATGTTTAGTGGCTAAATTCCTTTAATCTAGGGCTTGGGTGTAGCCACCGAATTTATTTGATTTATTTAGTTCATTATTATTTGATTTTTCCATTAATTAATATTTGTTATTCTTGTTTTAATTCGTGTAAGTAATTGGCCACTATTTGCATGTCTGAAGGTATTAATCGAAGTAGCGAGAGTGGAAGATTAATATTAGTTCGTAGGAATAATAAACTTAGGTTATAAGCTACGAGAGTAAGATTATAACCTTTGCAATATTTGATTCTTAATGGTCTTAATGTGCTTTTGTTAATCCCTATAGTCACGAGAGTAGTCATAGGGTTAATATAAGTAAGAGAATTATAACACGAGAGTGTATAGTTCTTAATTAGGTGAATTGTTGTGAGATTAATGGAAGTTAAAAGTCAGATATTTGTGAATTGAACTAACCCAAATATTCGGTAGGTGAACCCGATGTCCTAGGTTTTCTTTGTCTGATTACTTGAATTAATATTATTTGTTTTTTATTTTATTTATTTATTTTAGTTTTAAATTTTATAAATCTGAAATCATCATTTATCTAGATAATAATAGGAGTAATTTATACCTGGTAGTTAGTATTCCTTCTCTGTGGGATCGACCCTACTTTCTGCTTTACCACTAGTAATTGTATTAAGTAGGTAATTATTATTTGACTAGTGTGACGACGGCTTGTCACTCACAAAGGTATACAATTTACCCCATGATGCCTCTTTTTCCTCTAGTATAAAAATATGATTAACTATACTAGTCTAGTATCCTATCTAAAAACCTATGAGAACCAGATGAAGGCGCGAATGCTATTTAACCCTTAAATAGGGAAAAGAGCATTTGTCAAGATACCATTTGCCTCTTAGTGTGGCTGGGAGGTCATCTTGATGTAGGTATTGTTTGATCGCTCCCCTCGCAGCTGTTTTGGCTAACTCGTCTGCCATTGCATTTACTTCCCTGAAGATATGGACAATTCTTGAATTAGAAGCGTCAAGGTTTTCCTATATTTCCTTAAGAACAGAGTGATATCTCCATGGAAATCTTTGTTTTTTGCATAGGATGCTGACAATTGCCTTGTTATCTATTTGGATGATTACTTGGTTTAAACTTCTTCTGTGCAAGCTTGTAGTCCATAAAGGATGCCATTTAATTCTGCTTCTAAGCTTATGGCTATTCCCATATACTTTCATTCTACATGTACCAAAGCTCCCTTATGTCCTCGTATTACAAAACTCCATCTGGCTTCACCAGGTTGCCCTAACGCCGACCCATCTGTATTTAGAATCATTCCCCCAGGGTCAGGTGGTTGCCATCTTAGGGCTTGAACTGTCTTCTTGAGTTGGGTGGATATCTTTATCTTGAAGATTTCCTCTATCTCTTGTCTTTCTTGCTCCGTCTTTGCATACAACTTATGAACACTCAAAAGATTAGAAATGTGAGATGTAACTGTATGTACTAAAACCTTCAAGGAAAAGATTCTACCCTCAAACATTATTGAATTACGGAGCTTCCATATCTCCCAAAGAATGAAGATAGGAAGTACCATCATAATGGTTTTTCTTGTGGTTGTATAACTACCTTTGAGTGCTATGCTTGTAGATTGCTCCACCAACCTGTATGATTATAGGTAGATATACTCATTAAAGAAGAAACATGGTTCCATACCTGACTTACCTTTGGACATCCAAAAAAGACATGATCAATTTTTTCTTCCTCCACTCGGCAAAAGGGACATCTTGAAGGATAAGAATATATTCCCATTCGCTGGACAATTTCTGGAAAAGGCAAAAGGTGATTAAAAAGTCTCCATATGAAGAAAGAGATTTTTAAAGGGATCACTTTATTCCAGACATTTTTAAGATAAATAGATTCTTCCCTTTTTTCTCGAAATTCAGCATAAGTGTACCTAATGGTGAATGCCCCCGCTGAATTAGGTTTCCATGCAAGTTGATCCGGCGCATCATCAAAGGTCATCGTCGTAGTTGTAAGACGCGCTAGGTTTTAGGATGCAACACTTCCTTCAATTCCTGGAAGAAAAAAGTTTTTGAAGAGAAAAAATCCCTTACTGATAAGTTCGGCCAAGGAACCACATCCAAACCTTCTCGAACCATTTCAAAATCCAGCCAATTAGCATTCTAGAAAGAGGAGGATCCATCGTTTATAGTCATCTTGGAACTTTTGGATGCTTTTTGGTGAACTTTAGACACTCTTGACCAACTTGTTTTATCCTTTGCTGTGTCTGATAGAGAGAGAATGAACCTTGCCCAAACTCCTTGTTTTGTGTTGATCTTCCACCAAAGCGTCATGGAATAAGTCTCAATTATGCTCTTCAAACTATGAAAGCCTAAACCGTTTTTAGCAACCAAAAAGGTGATTTTATCCCAAGCTCTCCAATGCGTTTTGCAACCATACTCATTTTCTCCCCAAAGGAAAACTTACTTTTTTTTTCCAACTCATCAATAATTGATTTCGGAGGAGATATTGCTGCTATTATATGTATTGGACTAGCAGACAAAACATGCTTGATCAGGATTATACGTCCTCCCACCGAGAGTAGCTTGTTCTTCCAATTCCCCAATTTTGCTTCAAAAGACTCCAATAGATGGTGCAAGTAGTCTGATTTCTTCCTTCCTTTTTGAAGATGTAACATCCCAAATATTTAAATGGTAATGTACCTTGGGGCATTTGCAGTGTTTGAGTTACCATAGCAATATGGCTTTCGCTTCGTTTCTCTGAGACCAAAAAATTACTTTTTGCTTGTTCATTCTCTGCCTGAAAGCGTCCTCATATTCTTAAAAGAAATGTTAAGATTTAGCATCGAATTCTTCAATCCTTTGGAGAAGATGATTAAGTCGTCCGCTAAACAGAAATGGGATACAATTGATGCTCCCGCTGGAACTCCATAGCTTGCAACCTTTCCGGAGAGCACTAGAGTCTTTAAATTTCTTGTGAGAGCTTTGGAAACTAATAGGAAGAGATAAGGTGAAAGAGGATCACCCTGTTTGATTCCTCTTGAAGCTTGGAAAAAACCCGTCGGCGCACCATTCAAGAGGACCGAAAACCAGCTCCTGGAAAGATTGGACATAACTAAGGAAACGAAATGATGATGAAAACCAAACTTAAGCATTATTTTTTGAAGGAAGCTCCACGAAACTCTATCGAAAGCTTTCATCATGTCGATTTTTAAGATCAAATTTCCCCCTCTCGTTTTGTGGTGAAGGAATTGAAGGAGTTCCTTAGTTAACAATACATTGTCTATTATATCCCGGCCTAGTAAAAACGCAGATTGCTCCTCTGAAATCAGCTGAGGAAGGACGACTTTTAACCTCTCTGTAAGCAGCTTTGTTAAAATTTTGTTGAGGAAATTGCACTAGCTTATTGGTCAGAAGTTCGCAAATGAAGTTGCTGTATTTTTCTTTGGAATGCTTCCAATGGATCGTGGAAGAGGAATTCCAGACATAAAATCCATACAAGCAAGTTTACGGTCGTCGCATATGATTGGCCAGCATTGACGATAGAAATCTCCCCCAAACCCGTCACTTCCAGCCGCGCTAGTTGGATCCAAACTGAACACTGCTTGTTTAATTTCTTCTACGGATAAATCAGCCACCAAAACAGCATTGTCCTCCGCGGTTAGAGTAGTTGGAATACAGTTTAGAACAGAAGTGCAAGCCGCTTCATGATTGGCACATTCTTCTTTGGCGAAAAGTTGCTGAAAAAAAGAGATCTCTTCCTTTTGAATTTCTCCTTTATCAACTATCCAAACATCATCTGATCTTCGGATTTTATGAATTCCTAGGCGAGCTTTTTCTCATTCAGAGAAGCATGTGGAATTCGAATCACCATCCCACAGCCATTTTAACCTAGATTTTTGCTGCACAAAGTCTTCTTTTTCCGCAGCTTGAGTAGCAAATGTGCTTGAGCTTGATGTAGAGCTTTTCTATCCGCAGCTGCCCCCGTTTGATCATAGAGAGCTTCCTTAATTTGAACATCCTTTTCAGCTTCCGCAAAGTTATTGAAGACATTGCCAAAGACGGTTTTATTCCAGTCCTTTAAGCATTGCTTGAGCCGCCACAATTTAAGTGAGAAGGCAAGCATTCCATAGTGATCTATTGGTTATTCCAGTTTTCCATATCCAAACTCATAAAATCATCTCTACGCATCCACATTCTTTAAAGCGAAACATGCTTGGTCGAGAGTCTTCATCGCGTTTGAGCTGGTGGAGAATGGGTGAGTGATCGGATGTAGTTCGACTTAAGTGATGCACTAATGAGATTGGATACAGTTCCAGCCATTCTGAGTTAAAGAGGAGCCTATCTAGCCGCTTTAAAACCTTCCCGTTCTGCCTATTACCAGTCCATGTAAACAGGTTTCCGAGAGGTGTTAATTCCGATAAACAGTAACCATTAATCCAGCTATTAAAATCATCCATTGCTCCCTGATCAGGCCTATAATTCCTTTATATTCATCCAAGTTTCTGATAACGTTAAAGTCGCCTCCTACCATCCATGGAAAACCTTGATAATTCTGTTGAAAATTCAAAAGCTCTAGCCAAAGTTCTTGCCGTTCTAGTCGCGTCGACTTAGCGTACACCGCTGAAAGTAGAACCTTTTGTGAGCTTTTCATACACTCCACTTCCACATGAAGAACTTGATCTGAAGCTGCCAACAACCTCAGATTCCAGTCCTTCGAGCAAAGAATCCAAATCTGACTATTTGACGAAGCTAGCATAGCAGAGAAATTCAAATTCTGTTTTAAGGCTTCTACTTGAGAGATCGACAACATTGGCTCTAGAAGGACTATAAGCGATAATGAGTGTAGTTATACCAAGTTCTCAAGTCGCCGCTGTGATGCTTTATTCCCTATTCCCCATATATTCAAGAAAAGATGACTATTCATTGAGACTAGTTTGGGAGAGAATTGCTGAGAAGTCTCGCAGATGCGCGAGTTTTTGCTACAGGAAGTTTCGCTGCTTTTGTTGAACCTTTTGGTCTTTCTATTTTCTTCTTTTTCCCTTCATCATCAGAGGTTATTAGATGAGCTTCCTGTGAATGAGACGTGGCCAAAGTTCTTCCAACATCACTATCGTCTGACGAGATTGCCGAATTCTTTTTGAGAGTTTTTATTTTTTCTAGTTCATCCACGGAATCTGGTTCGACTTCTAATTCGAAAGAAGGATTTGCAAGATCATTTTGTGTTTCCTTTTCACCTTCGTCATCTTGATTTTCCTGAATCTCGGACAGAATGTGGAAATGCGACTGGGTAACAACCTTTGGAAGCTCTTCTGTAACCTTAACTAAATCCTTATAAACAACTATTTGCAGGTCTGAAACATTTTGCTCCGCAGATTTTTCTGTTTCCTCCTCTTCATGTGCATCCAAAGAGACTTCCTTCTGTTTAGTTTTCTGTAAAAATAAGTTTAACTGATCCTTCGAGAATCGTTGTTCTGCCGATGAGTTTTGTCGTAATGTGGGGCTTGCGGGTTCTACATTGGAATTTTCCTTTTCTCTTGATCTGTCAAACCTGAAGTCGAAGCTTCCTTGACCTTTTCCAATCCTTCAACATGTGAGCTAGAACCCTCTTTCTGTTTCCATATATTATTTTCCACAACTGGAACCCCTTTTGAATGATCAGCCGTCCCTTTAGAGTTCTTATTACGCACAACTGCCTCCACTGAAACTGGAATGTTTTCTTTACCCACTACGGGAGCCTTTGTAGATTGATCTTCCATCGCGCTAGGGTTCTTACTACGCATTTCTATATCCTTTTTCCTTCCTTTAACATGGCGGCAATCCGGTGCTGCGTGGTCAATCTTACGGCACTCCAAACAGTAATCAGGCAAGTTTTCATATGTAATGGATTGAAAATATGAATTTTCTGATGTGCCTAACCTTATTCTTTTCGGTGGTTCATGTAGAAGATTCACCTCAACGCAAACCCTCGCTATGGATGGACGTGACATATTTAGGGTTGGAACGTCCCAAGTATCCCTGCCAATTTCCAAAAATAATCCTTGTTAAATCGATGGACTAGCAAGCCTTCAAACGTAACCCAAACTGGAGCAATCGATGGCTCGTGTTCCGGATTAAATTCCGGAGTCCACTTCAAGACTCGCATAATATGGTGATCGAACATTCATAAGCCTTTAGTGACGGTAGCAACAATGTCTTTAAAGATTTTATTAACAAATTGTTAATTTATAGATAAATTAATAATTATTAGTTTATCGATAAATTAATACATCAATAAATTAATAATTTTTTGGAGTCCCAATAGTATTAATTTATAGATGTTTAACTGTAATTAATTTTAGTAAAAAATTAATTTATCTAAGGTTGAATTTTTTCAAAAAAGGATATAATATGTCCAAGAAATAGCATAATTGCAGCATATTCATGTTTTGAATTAGTACATTGTTATGAAAATCAATGTAGAATATGGTTGAAAGTCTATCATATTTTTAAAAAAGAAATTCAATCATAGATAAATTAGTATTTACTTAAATTATTTTTTTTAAAAAGTATTTTCTTAAGAAAAATTTGTAAATGTCTTATCCTTAAATAAATGTTTTTACAATTTGTTAAAAAAGTTTTTTAAAAAAGGTAGAATTTATCAACAAAAAATTTGATTTTAGGTGAAAAGGGTATTTTGGTCATTACATACATATTTTTTTTGCCATTTTTGCCCTCAAGGGGGTTAATTATGCCGTTGACTGGCGGTCAAGGGGGGTAATTGTCTTTATGGAAAAACTCGGGGTGGTATTAGTCTTTGAGACATAACTCAAGGGGGTTTTTGTCCTTTTCCCTTTTGGAGTGTTAGACTTTGATGAACAATGCAAGAATTGAACATCAGAGCCGCTAATAACATGAAGATTCCCAGTTGAAATTGTCAGATCTGGTATCATCCGTAATCTCGATCAACATCTTTGAAGGCCGAGGAGAAGCAAATTTTTTATGTACTCTCGAAGGTGTAACTTTGGAAAAATTGAAAATGACACCGGATCTAAAACCCGAGGTGGATGCTAAATGGAAACCTTGTTGTAAAATTATGGGGGGTGGGGAGGGCAGTTGCTGGGGGCAACTGGAGCTGCTGCTGGTTTGATTACGGAAACATTCCATATATACCGGCTTTTCAGTAGTAGAAGATAGATTGGTTGATTATGTCTCATGCCCTTCAGATGTAGTAGGCTCTTTGAATGACACGGGTTGCACAGCTGAATTAATAAATAATTTTACCAAAACTTTTTTTTTTGGAATAAGATTGTTTTCATTCCATTATTGCAAAATAGCAATTTCAAACTCCATATAGAAAACTCAACCACTTAGGCTAAGCATCATTTTAGATGTTTCTGGACAAAACAAATTACACCACAAACCTACCAACTATTACAAAGACATAACATTGTTTTATCTTACAGAAAGTTGGGGTAATCCCCATCGTGTTAGCCCAAATTTTGTTCTTCTGGGTGTTTTTCATTTGCTTGACCTTTGCCAGATTCAACTTCAAAGAAACTTTATCTTCTGAACAAGTTCAAATACTTTAGGAGTCTCACCTCAAAAGATAAGTTTATTCCTTGCATCCCAACTGAGGTGAATAGTAGTTGCAAACATACTTCTAATGATGTTATCTATAACAGAGCTAGAACCATAATGATGCATTATCCAAACTACTAGATCCTTCCAAGGAATCAGACGTACAGAGACTTGAACAATATTCATAGCATTATTAATGAGATGACCTGAAAGTAAGTACTCAAAAAGCAAATGTTCTCTGGATTCAACTTGCATACTACAAAAAGCACAAACTGTGCTAATAGAAGAGTCAAATTGAGCCACCCTTTCTCTGGTCTGAAGCATATCAAGTATAGCTAAACCAAGCTATAAAGCTGTGTTTTGGAACAAAGTACTTTCCCCATACCAATTTGTACCAATGAGCAGAAGGATAATCAGACACAATGGTTAGAAAAGTTCTAACTGAAGAGAAGGATGCCCTTTACCTTTCCACACAAGTACTCCTCCATTGGAGTTGTCAACACATTGTACAACAGTTTGTCTCAAACCCATGATTTTTTTCATGAGCCAAAAAGCACTTTGAGTGATCTTCTAGCTCCAATGATACGAGTTCTTCAAATAGTATTCTTGAATCCACTTAACCCATAAAAGTCAATTTTCAGAGCAATATCACACAACAATTTTAGCATCAAAGCTAAATTTGATGAGAGAGAGTTCCTAATGCCTAAGCCATCTTTGGAGTATGGTTTGCACACATCTCTCCGAGCCACATGTGATTTTTTAGATTGAACATCCGATCCTATCCAAAGAAATCTTTGACCCAAGCTGTCGATATGTTTAAGCACATGCTTGGAAATAATAAAAATCATTTTCCTATATACTTGGACACGTTTCAAAACAGACTTGATCAAAACAAGCCTTCTAGCATAAGATAAAAATTTTGCAGTCCAACATCTAATCATTGCTGTGGCCTTCTCTTTTAAAGGCAGACAATCATTAATAGATAATCACCTAGCTGCTAATGGAACTCTAAGACACTTGACAGAAATCTGACCTTCAGGAAATCCCAAACATTGAATTATTTGAAGTCTAATATGCGCATTAGAGCCTCCAACGAAAATGTTACTTTTGAGGTTGTTGGAGGACAAGCTTGAGACATCAACAAAGTGGCATAATACACCTCTAATGAGTTCAACTGAATGAATATCTGCCTTTGAGAACAAGAATAGGTCATCTGCATAGCACAAGTGGGTGCTCTTGGTTCGATGACATTTGGGATGAAATTTGAAAGCTCTAGCATTTGCCATTCGTCTGAGGCATCTTGAAAGATACTCGATGAATAAGGTAAATAAATAAGGGGACAAGGGGTCACCTTGTCTAATACCTCTTTTTGCAGGAAAATAACCAGACGAACGCTGGTATTTCAAATTGATTTAATAACGATGACGAACGGTATGACTTACCGCTTCACCGATAGGAGGAAAGTATCTTTCCCTTTTTGCTCATCCGGGGAGTGAATTCTCTAGGTTATTGAAAGCCCAGCTTACAAGATGATGCGCATGATGGACCGGGGTTATTACTCTATTTCCTTTAAGAACTATAATAAAAATATCTGTCTCCGGGTCCGTCTTTGGCTGCCTGCCTTTTCTCCGTCCCCTTTCCAGCCTACCAACTTCTCTTCTGGCAAGGCGACCCTACAACGGTGTCTCACTGTAAACCGCTTCGTCAACTTTCACATGAATTTGAAGCACATTTTTACGAAAAAGTCTTTATTAATTATTATATTAGCATAGCTTTAAGTAGTAAACTAAACATTTTACACTAGGGGTTTTACCATACATGCAAACACAACAAATAAAACCAAACAAAGATAGTTAACATAGATAGGAGTCTATCTCCAGTAAGCACCGGAGTAGATCTTCACTAAACAAAGAGAAAGAACACCATAAATTAAAACACACTACTTTGCGTCTACAGACACTTATTTAAATCTTCTAAAAAGAGTCGACAGACTCTTCTAGTCTCCCCAGGGACCGTGGGTGACAGAAAGCACTATTAGTGCTGTTTGCTCTGCCAGCAGCGCTTCTTTCCTCGCCCCCAAATCCTCAATTTTCTGTCTTACAGCGCGAATGCGCGCTTCTTTCCGAGCGGGATCGATTGTTCTCACACTCCTCCAAAGATAGTTTAGCACCCTATGGCGCTCCTCAAGCTAAGAGAGAGTCTGTTAACGCCGCTTTCTTCTACCCTTCATAGGCTTTTCTGGAATCTTTCCCTTGAAAGTCAATCTCGATTCAACTGCAAACAAGGAAAGACTACGTAGTAGTCGTTACTCCAACTGCGGTTACGCCATTTCCGTCTGTCTTGACTAAGGCACCAAGAGCCCTTATTTCATTCAATGCTGAAAGTGGTCTTGTCTTCTATTTCCAGGTTCCAGGTAAACGACTAGGGATCTTCACTTCCCATCTCGGGATATAATCAGTCACCCTCCAGTCTAGTTAGTTACTTTTTGCTTCCCCTGCCTTTAGTCGAATTCTATTCACTATGACGGAATCCGTTAAGTGCTAGAAGTGGAGGGAAGGCCTAGTGAATCTAGCACTATGGTGGAATCTAAGTGTAAGATATTGTTCCGCGGTTGGAACACTAGCTCCTATGCGCCTGGAGGTAGGACGTTAGAAAAAGGATATGAATTAGGCTATTTATACTTACTATTAGGCTTTCAGTGTAGTAACCTAGATGCTGACTCCCATCTATATATAGTCAAAGAGAAGAAAGTCAGTCGTCCCAGATAAACTACTTGATCTAGCTCTTTCGCATCGAGGTCTTTCGTTCGAGTAAAGGAAGCGAAGAAAACGTAAGGGAAGTGAGTGGAGTAGTAGAAAGGAGTGGAAGGAGTAATGCTAATCCATTAGTTCTAGCTCAAAGTTTACCCTTAGTAGTCTCGAAGTTAGCCGCTTGGCTTGCTCATACTCCTTCAAGTCAGCAAGGGGACTACGGGTACTAGTTTCATGGTGATTCGTTTTCACCTCATTCCCCTTCATGGTAGACTTCATGCATAGAAGCTAAGGACGGAGGAATGCCCGAGGATGTTTAGGTGGTCTCAGTTGGTGTAAGTGATCGAAGGCTTGTTATTTACATTCGAGATGCAACTATTGTATACTTGGGATCTGGTGACCCTATTCTATTAGTTGTAGTAGCAAACCCTTAGCTGCTCTTTTCTCGAATTTGGTACTTCGGTAGGGCTTGGTCTAGAGGAAAGGGTTTATAGTATATTTCTGTTTCCCACTCATTGGCTGCTCGTCCTAACGTACTTGATCTGTTATTAAGATAATCGAGTGGATTGATACTTTCTTTTGGTTCCATCCTTTGTTAGTCTTGGCTCGACTGGATACTCAACATCAACAAGCTGTTGGAATATCGACTGGCCTAGAGGATTCTCCGCCTTTAGATTAAC